AGGTAAACTTACCCTTCACTGACCAAGTTTAATGCCATCTTAAACAAGATGGTCTGTGATAGACCTAATTTGCTTAGAGTAGATGTAAGAGGAGCATATGGATGTTGCACATTAAGTTCAAAATTTAATGTAGTCAGGATCATTTGCTCTGCCTCAATTACACGTTCCCGATACTGCTCAAACCAGTCCTGTTCACCACACCAAATTTTTATGTCAGGAAACTGTAAAATAGAAAGTGAAAACATCAAGTTTCCACATCGTAAACCAAAACAATTATATTCTAAACGTTTTAGCATATTTAATCATGAAACCATACCACACAAAAATGGTCTGAATTGCTTTCATGCAGTTCAATATATTCAAGTAGAGCCAAGCAATCAAGTAAATTAGTAATTTAATGCAACACAGAAAAGAATTGTTAAAGCAACTTGCTTTGTAATTTTGTTATCAATCAAAGACAAGGTTCCCATATATTAAACCATAGGGAAAAAATTAGACATCTTAGCAATATGTTCACATTTAAGCTGCCAATGATTTTAGTACTTTTTAAAGTTATTAATGGGAAGGAAATGGTAGGAGTTTCAGGATACTCACAACTGGGAGCAAATAAGATAGGAAAGTAATATCCCGGTTGTGGAAAATTTCACAGGATGCTCTCAACACATCGTTCAAGGGGCGTGGTGTATCCTCTGACTTTGCAGCAAGAAAAAGAGCAGCAGTAGCAATCAACTGCAATAGCAGCTTATTAACAATGATAAACCTCTTCATTATAAGTCAAGATGGACTAAATGACTTATCTAGGAATTAGAAAATATTTTATTTTGGTAAAAATGAAGAAATTACGGAAAATTTAACCCAACTCAAGTTTCACCTGAAGCTCAAAAGGTAGCCTAGCAATTTTCAATTTCTTAACCATTTAAATTCCGTTTTCATATATGCCAGGTGAAAAGAATGCTCTAGGAGACAACCCCAGTTAGTTCCCATGACACACAGCAAAAAGAATACACATCTATGGAGAGAGACAGCCAAAGGGCATGTACAAAACTTTGCTTAGAAGCATACAAATCTCCAATATGTATATCTTCAACCTCCAACCCCAACCAAACAGATAAGAAATGAAAGCGTGCACTATATTTCCTAAGCACAAGTGTTTGAAACTCACAAATCTATCATGGCAAGCATGCGATCTTCGGACAAAAAACCGGTGGCACAAGACCATGGCAGTGCCAATAGTAGTTTGGGGCCTGCAATGCACAACACATCTTTTAATTTTATAAAAACCAGAGTAGAATAAAAAATTAATATAAGCTAACTGCAATTATGTAAAAGAAATGAAAAAATAAGAAACATATTCAAGATGAAGAGCTTACAACTCAAGCCGCACTCCAAGATTTTGAATGAAGGCACAATAAGAATAGCGCAACTGCATTTCACGTAGAACATCAATACCATCTTTCCTCGAGGGTGAATATCTATCAATCTCATATCTAGACATAAAGACATGTTCATCATCCTCCAATCTTGACCTGTCACGTTTGCCGGTGTTAGATGTAGATACCTCAGCATCAGATCTGAGAGAAGGAGGGACTAGATTGCTGGAGTTTAATGAAGCAGCAGCAGCAGCAGCAGCAGCAGTATGATATGTCCTAGGTCTCCCACTATCACCCCAAGTGTTCTCTGAAATTTTTCTCCTTTTCAAAGATGGAGTGGCATCAGACTGAGGATAATGATATGGATTACCATGCGCATGAAACTGCCTTAACAAGCCATGTTTGTGGTTAAAGCTCCTGGCTTGATTGTTGTTCCAATTCCGGTTCCAGTTCTTGTTTCTATTACTATTATTATTGCTCAAGTAGTTTCTGCCAAACCGATTATGATCCTGAAAGGTGCCTCCTTGTGGAACGTACATCCGTGCAGAAGCCATAATTCCTGATTTTCAAATGACTAGTTAGAAAATCAGCAACGGTGGAAAAATCATTATACAAACTTTAATCATCAAAAACCAGAATTCAAATCTAAACCGCTTCAGAAATATTAAAAATTCCAAACAAAAACACGTAAAAATTCCATCCGCTCAGATCAAAACAAATCCGAAACAAAATCATAATTCATGAACTGATTACAGAGAGAACATCAGACTGATGAAACCAATAACAAGCAAAACGAGCGTGAACGGTGAAAATCACGACGACTGTATCAGCAATTTTTACCTGATTACCGGCGAGGGAGATCGTGAAAGCAGCGGTAATGGAGAGTGAAGATGGCTATACAGATGAGATTAGGGTTTTTAGGGGAAGAAGAAGAAAGCGTCAAGGTGAGTGTTGTTGTCTTAAAAGCAGGGAAAAGTAAACACAGAGAAGCCCCAAAACATGGATTATACCAATGGGAAGGAGATACATACATTCCGTTTGTTTCTGACTCATTCGAAAAGAAAAAGATGTTGCGGGAGCGGACTGCAATAACTTTCTATTATTATTCAACTTAGATTACACGAATTAAATTATTATTAATAAAAATTTAGCTTTCAATTTCAACTATTATTTTTTTTTATACTAATTTCCTATAAGTAATTATGTTAAATTTTAATTAATTCATACCGGACCACGTCAAGCCTATTTGAGGAGATTTCTAAATGCTTATTTTTTAATTCATAAAATTTTAACTCAAAATTTTATTTAAAAAAATAAATTTTTTTTATTTGATCAACAAATCATTAATTTAATTTTAATTATTATAAATGATAAAATATTAATTTTTAAGTTAAAAATTATTAGAGGCCGTTTTTATTTAAAAAATTTTTATTTTATATTTGAATTGTAAAATAATAAATTTTATTATTAAATTTTACAAGTTAAATTATTAAATAAAGCAAATTTTGGGAGTCTTCCCTTCAGTAACTCAGGTTTTTTTAATTTATATATTTAGGTAACAAATTAACAATATAATTATTATATTTTTTATATTAATTAATTTTAAAAAATAAAAATTATTTAATAAAAAAAATATACATGATACAAATGATAAAATTAATAGTATTTTTTATATCTTTTAATATTAATTAATATAAAAAATATAATAATTATATCCTCAACTTGAAAAAAAACTCTAATTTTTATTTGACAATACCAGAAACAAATTATTTCTTTAGATTGAATTTAATTATTCTAGTTTAACTTTTATATAAAATTTAATTGACATTTATTTATTTTATAAGATCATTAGATTTATGTAAATTTGAGGGATTTAAGACAACTAAAAAAATATTAAAGGGAGTAACTTATATTTTGCATTTCAATTGTCTCACAATTAAAATCTCAAAATTAATAAGTAAAGAACTTAAATTCTTGTTAATATAATAATAATTTTTTATTTTTTATTTTAATCATTATAAATTTTATAATTTTAAATATAAAAATTTTATTTATTTTGACATATTTTTACAATATATTATTATGATTATTAAAAAATAAAAATAAGATAATTTTAATACTATTAAATAAGTATGCATTTTAATTATCAATATTAAATGTTATTTTAAATATAATTTTAAAAAATTTAAATTTGTATTTTAATTTTCATTAGTTCCAAAAATTTATAAAAAATAAAATTTAAAATTCAACATATCAATTATACGAAACAGCTCCACTTTCACTTTTTTTACATGAGCATGTTTGGTGAAGCTTATAAGTGCTTTAATTTCTTGACATTATTTATATTTTGTAAGTTTAAAATTTTCTTTTAAAAACTTATATTTTTTAAATTTTTTTTAATCTTAAAAAAAATTGAAATAGTAAATTTTAAAAAGTTTCAATTTTTTATTTTTTATAAATTATTTATTTATTTATTTCTTACTCACTTTTTATTATTTGTAAAAATAACTTTTAAATTTTTTTTCTAACAAAAATTTAAATTTATAACTCATAAATATTATTAAAAGAGTAAAAGTTTCAAGAAGTTCAACCAAACAGCCCCTAGGAGAGGTTTGAGCAGAAAATAAAATAAAATAAAATAAAAATAACAGAAATGAATGAAAATAATAATTATTATTTTTTTCTAAAATTATTATTATTATTAATAAAAAAAAGTGAGGTATGGTCTAATAAATCAACCCAATTCATCTACTTGACATTTTCCACCGGCTGCACCTGCAGCACACGTTCGTTTTCACTGTTTTGGGGAGTTGGGCAAAAAGGTGGAGGCCCATGGCCCATGAATAACACTAGGCCCATCCATAAGTTTAGTAGGCCACAAACAAAACTTGGACTAATAAACACTAATCCATCATCAATATTGGGCTCCTGGATTTCTTTTCCTGCATATTCTGTTGGGTACTTTAAACAACTTTAGTAGCTTGTAATTGAATATTTGACTTAAGATACAAAGACAATATTTTGAAATTTAATTTTTTATTTTCTTAAGCTGTAAGTTAGAAAAATTCTTTAATTAATAAGTATAAGTGACTAGTTAGGGCAGATCGCAATGGTTTTTTGCACAGTATTTAAAAAAAATTATGAGTTCTTATCAAATTTTATTTATTAACTAATGAAGCATTTCTAGCTTTAAAGTTGTGGGTTTGAATTGGGATCCGCACGTTTATATTTAAATTTATATTTAAGTTCTTCTTTCTTTTGTTCGTAATTTAATTTTACTGGTAATTTGGTAGTTTTGTATGTATACATTGCAAAATTTATGTAATCTATGATAAGTCATAAAAAAAAAAAAAATTTATGTATTGACTAAATTTGAGAATAGGCTGCTGTTCATCTACTCTACAGCAAGTGTCTAGCTGCCCAAGTATCTATATTTGTTTTTACATTTAGACGATTTTTGGAATAAATGTTTAAATGTAATTAATAACAGATAATACTAATGATCTGTTAATTTGGGTGAAGGATTTCAATTCCTTGAATATGAAAAAACAAATACTAAGAGATCTTCTCTTTTATTGGATCCGATGCAACTCGATTTTGCATTAGTCAGGATTTGTTGCCAATAGTATTTAACATTGATTTAAAATATTTAATTAATTCAATTAAATCCAACAATTATTAACTATTTATAAAACTTCAAAACAAAACACCCCTTAAATAATGACTTAGCAGCACCAAAGAATGTGCATGCACAAATGTTGTTTCTTCTTCTTCTTCTTCTTCTTCTTTCTTCTGGTGTATGTATAAACACTTTTAGATTAACAAATATGAAGACACTTTTTTAAAAAAAAAAAAATTCTTGAAAACAAAAGTGCTTCTTCTTCTTCTTCTTCTTCTTTCTTTTGGTGTATGTATAAACGCTTTTAGATTAACAAATATGAAGACGCCTTTTTTTTTTTTTTTAATTTTCTTGAAAACAAAGGTGCTTTTCTTGATACATACTGCATTGATTAGAAATTCATGTTAAATGTGCAATCATAAAAGCATGAGCTTCTTTAGAGTAAAAGAGGGAGAGAGTGTTTCAAAAGCTGACTGCACTTCAAGTAAGATTAACTCCAAATCCAATTATGAAGTCAAAGTAGAGCATACACTACAACTTTTGTAGTACCATTTGTTAGTAATAACAATTATGTAAGTGTGTTTTGTCTTCAACCGTGAAGGCAGCAAGAACAAAAGTGCTTTTTCAAAAGCAAATTGAGAAGGGAAATAATAATGGACTTGGCTTCTAGGAAAAGAAAGTTAAAACTCATCTCTTCCCTCTCCTTGTCTTTCATATACATCCACACTTTTTGTTTTTGGACTCTCCTTGTTTCTCTCCTTAAAAAAGGGTGAATACACAACTATTGGGACACTTTTATTTTTTGCATCAACATTCTAATTAACCCCATCATTTAGATAACTTATTTATTCCCATCTTTTTCATAACAATTTTTTAATAAAATTGCAAGTAGCTAGTATTTAAAAAATGTTAGGGTCCATCCTTTACTTGTAAACATCAATTGAAGTTGAAAAATATGTAAATACTCTAAACAAATTAAGAATATACAAAAGTTTATTAATAGTGTTTTTGTCATATTTTAAATACAAAATAAACTAAAATACTGTATTGAGTCCAATATTATTGGATGGAGGAGTCCTCTCCAATATCAAAACCTTTCTTAATCCAATATTAGTGTCTTACAGGAGGGCTGCATTATAATACTATTAATGAAACATCTACATAATAATTACATGTTCTAAAATTATTAACAATGGAAAAACAGAAGCAGCTCGAACAGCTCCCATCCCAAGTTCTACTTAGAAGTGATTGAGCCAAGCATTTGTTTCCAAGTACTGTCTGGCCCGACAGACTCTTCATAAGCTTCCATTCATTAATAAAAATCTAGTGCTTGTTTGGTGTGACTGTAGTTTTTAATAGAAATTCGATTAGAGAAAAACTGTTGTAGAAGTATTATTTTTGTAAATAGAAAAAAAAAATAAGGATAAAATAAAAATAATATATTAATTTTATTAAAACACAAATGAGAAACTTTTGCAGAAACACCAATTTAGTGCTTTTAAGATTTGCAATGAAATGGACAAAATACAAACTTGTGAGAAGTTGTAGCATTTTTTACAAATTATAATATTTCATACAATTGGAGCTTTTGGAGTCCAAAGAGACTCCTTACCAGTTCTACCAAATATAACCTTAGTCAGAGTCAAAACAGCAGCTACAGTATGCCGAAACAACAATAATGATATGATTTTTTTTTTTCCTAACCAAACAAGTACGAAGTACTACTAAAGACCACAGGAGTCATGCTATAACAACTAAGCTCTTGCCTTTGCAAAACTACACACAGTAATTTAACACAAATACTTTAATTGGTCCCCTACCTGTCATTGTTTATGGCATGTTACCCTTATCTATTCACCTTGAAGAATCCCAAAGGTAATTCAGCCAAATGGGCCATTACTTTAAGAGGTACCAAAAATTATTGTCTCTTCCCATTTTCCCTCTGGTGTCTGACTGCGGTAAATAGGCTCTCATGATGAGGGGGTACTTTTCTCTTCTATGTTGCTATCAATCATGCATTCTTGGAATCATATGAAAGAAGAGAAATATTCACGACACTCTTTTATACATATATATATGTGATTAGGTTACATAATTTTTGTGTAATAAATGTTAAAATACAGATATTAAAATTGAATCATTAATAAGCCATATAAATTATCTGAAAAAGAATATCGTTAGCACTCATTTTTAAAGAAAAGTTAAAAAGAAAACCTTATTTTCCATGAAACCTCAATGAACAATTTACCATTCATTTGTTCAGTCACTTTCCATTTTCCTTTTTACAATGTTTGGGTTGTTGCTTAAGGTACAATTTTGCTACTTCCCAGCACAACAGTGAGCCTTAATCAAAAAACCTCATACTAACAAAGTTAAACATTTCCCCAAGAATCATAGCAATCATCAAGAGGTCTAGCATCGATGTTTATACCTTGTATGATCCTTGCAGGGCCAAACTCGAATACATTGTCGTTTCCTGTCCTCTAGGAATCTTTATTTCTGAATTAAGAGTTACAAAAAGGTAGGAAACAAAAGGATTAGAGATTCTTCAGTACTTACCACGTGGACCAAGAAATGTTAATCTTGATGACTTTGTTTTTTTCACATGTTAACAAAAATTGTTCATTAATCTTTTTGAAACTTTAATATTATTGTCTCCTCTATTTATGGGGCAGATAAGCATAGGTAGATTGACATTAATTTTTCTTTTTTTTTTTTATAATTAGTTGTCTGGGTTTTAAATAGAATTGTTCAAATCTTAATGGAAGCTTTTTGCAGGATACATCTTACCAATTGAATTGTGTATTTTTTGGGGACGAAAATGCCCTCCCATGATGAGGGAAAATGGCATGGTATGGCCTTGGAGACTAAACTATTTGAAAGGGTAATATTGGAAAATTGAAGGAAATATGATTGTGTTTGATTCAGTCCTCACATGGGTAGAAGTTAGTCTCATGCATGTGATCACATGGTTGAGTCCTTCATTCCCCATGTTATTATCTTGCAAGGTAGAAGGGTCAACTGAAGCACAAGTCAATCTCTCTAGAGTAATTAAGACAATTAATCTATTGAGAAGATTTTATTAAAGATAATTAAGCATGCAGGAATATTGGTAAACAAATCTCTCGGTACTTTAGTATCAAAAGAATATATTGAATTAGGTCACAACAAGACTTTCTTCTGCTAATAAAGTAATAAGTTAAATAATTTAATGGTAATTTTTTTTTAATGAAAGTGAAAGATTTTGAGTTTAAGTTATATGACATGTAAGTAAGGTGAATTATGAAATAAGATAGAGTTGTTTCTTATAGTATAATTTAAGATAAAAAAGAAAAAAGATTTTCTTATGTAGCAATCATGAAACAAGTTGAAATATTGAAAATTTTATATTTGATTTCTTTTCTCTTAACAGTACAACATGCGCTTGCACACACAAATATAATTATTTTTATATGTTCATTTATTTAATAACATGTGAAAGTTATATATGTATATAAAAAGTTATTCACATATCATTACTCTTTCTTATATTTATAATTTTAACTTTTTAAGTAAAATTTTTTATAGAATTATTGTTGAATAATACATTATTTTATAGGATGACGTGATTTTCTAAATTAAATGAATTTATAAATTTGAAAAGAACAAAACAATATGGATTACGTTTTTTCATTTTATAAGATTGAAAGACCCAACTATTTATGTTTGTTCAACCAAACAAATTAAATCACACCCAAAAAAAAGCAACAGATAGAAATTGCCTTCATGAGTATGTTTTCTTATACCCAAATGTAATTTGACCTGTAAAACAACCACCTGCCCTTCAAAAGATGCCAGCTTGCAGCTTCTGCCATAGAAATTTCTTCAGCTTTTAGGCCTTTGGTCTGCTTTTTTGGAAAAACAAAGGAAAACGGGAGGCAAAATGGGGTTAGACTTGGATTAGATTTGCATGCAAAAACTCTCAAAACTCCCCTTTTTGTCCTTTAGTAGTTTCCCAAGGTTGTCCTCCATGTGCTGCTTATTGTATATTCTAAACACCTCATTAGCTCATTGTTTCAACTTAACCAGACCACATGGTTTTAATAATCTCACCGCCCACTCAATTACTATCAATAACAAAACACAGTGATTAAAACACTTCTTTGAAAGGGCAAAAAATAAAAAATAAAAGGAAAACATTTCTTCAAAAGGCATCTCCTCTCTTTATAGATCAGTCTTATGCTTCTTTGTGAGAACACCAAGCCCAACTCCACAAACCTTTTTCTTTCTCATTTTCCTTGAATCCAAACACATAACCTGGAAAAGTATGGCTCTGGAAGCTGTTCCAGCAACCCCCAGATCAATTGATTCACCTTCAAGCCCTAGGATTTCATTCTCTGCTGATTTTCTTGATGAAACCAACTTCATCTCCATCAACCCACATTCTCAATTTGAGAAGAAAGAAGAGAATGATCAAGAGAAGAAGGAGAGGGAGAAGGCCAGAGCTGCAGAGTTTGAGTTTCTCTCCAGCAATGTCAGCAGCCATGCCATGTTGACCGCTGATGAGCTTTTCTTTGAGGGGAAGCTCCTTCCCTTTTGGCAAATGCAGCATTCTGAGAAGCTGAACAAGATCAGCCTAAAAACAAAAGATGCAGAAGGAGAAGAGGTTGCCAAGGAGGAGAGTAGGGTAAGTTGGTTTGTTGATGATGACCCATCTCCAAGGCCACCAAAGTGCACTGTTTTATGGAAAGAGTTGCTGAGGTTGAAGAAGCAAAGAGCTTCTTCTTTATCTCCATCTTCTTCTTCCTCTTCAACATCTTCTTCTTCTAGCTCACTGGCCGATGTTGCCACCAAAGAAGATGGGAAAGAAGGATCGGGAAACAGAGAGAAGCATGTGAAGAGGATTAAGAAAGGGTTGGAAAAGACAAGATCAGCAAGTATAAAAATTAGGCCAATGATAAATGTCCCCATTTGCACGCAAATGAAGAGCAGCTCATTGCCTCCTTTGTTTCCCCTGAAGAAAGGAAGATAAGAAAGGTAAAAAATGGTTATCAAGAGAGAGCAAAGATAGTTGAATTTGATTTGATTTTTAGGGTTGTTCAAGATGTTTATTTGTTTCTTATTTCTTTCATCTCATCTTCTTCTTCTTCTTCTTCTTCTCTACTTTTTTTTTTTTCCTTTTGTGTTAAGATAAATCTTGAGTTTTATGGATCTGATGATTTACAATGTACATGCCGACTGGTTTAATTAGATATCAACGAAATAACCATGTACTGATATTAACTTCCATCACATAAAATAGAACTTGAATTTCTAAAGATTCCATGAAGTACCCAGCAAAGTAGCAGTCATACCACATGCAGATTCAGGGTCTGAGAACTGAAGGGTCCCCACTAAGGAAGACCAACCAAAAGGAATCTGAGCATATGACATTAAACCGCAATGAACTTTTGAATTATTTTGGGATAATGTGAAAGATCTGGTAAAGTTTGAGATTCTGACTTCTGAGTTCTGATTCCCCACAAATAAACGTGAAAGCTGCTATAATTTTTATGCATCCGAGCAAACAGCAATCAATATCTATTATGGATTAAAAATTCTTACATTTTTTAATACCCCTTGAGGCAGTTCGCTATTTTCTTCTACATTATTAGAAAAGAAAAAGCAAAAAGAAGAAACACACTTCTAAGCCGTAGAAGAGGATTTACATGTAAAATATTCAAAGGTCATTCCAAAATGCAACTAGGAAAATCATTCAATGCTTGTTATATATTGGTTTGTCCTGAAGAAGTAAAGTTGTGTTGAGTACGCCAGTTTCATTTTCCTAATAACAATGCAAGAAGTGAAGCCACTGCCCATGAAACCGTATGAAGTTTACAGAAACATATGCAATCAGACACGATGAGTGCAGAAGAATCGAGAAAACGATGCGTATAATATTAGAATAAATGTGGGAGTAACTTGATTTACAAGCATGATTTGGTATTCAAGTAAATTCAATATCATACAGACCATATATGGAGAAACATGTAAGTATACAACCATGTAAGTATACAACCATGTGCAGTCTATGCAAGTATACAACAAGAGAACCGAAAGCATTACAACTTCCATGGTGAAGAGATGATAACAGCAAAACTCAGTAAAATTTTCCAATCAAAATCTTTTGAACTTGTTATGGATTTCATATAGACACAACAGAATCTGGACACAACTTGTTGATAGGCAGCTGCATGAGTTACCTCTGGATGCATCTCCCTATCTGCTCAAGAAGGGATTTCCGGGGGAAGTCCTGAAGCAAATTAAAGCATAAGACTTAGCATACAGTAGCAGTTAATTGTAAAGTAAGAGTTACAGGGCTGAATTTGAATTTACGTAAGGTTCAATTCTTTTCTCCCAATGAGGCTGTCAGGTATGTGCCCAGTCAGATTGTTGTTTTGTAAGAATCTGTAAGACAGAAGGAATGAAAGTCAAGCATAAGGTATCAAATCAGACTTTCAAATTGGATATCCAATAAAACTATATTGCTGAAGTGAATATAAATAAATGTCAGAATATTCTATCATGAACAACATTTTTTGCAGAGGAAAAAGATGACACCCAACATGTAACATGAATGTATTTTATTGAATCAAACATCTTCTCATTTCTTTGCTTTTATAACTCTAAGACAGAATTATGGTAGTGAAAGATGATGAGTTGGCTTGAAAAGATAATGTTTAAATGTTTAAATAGCTGGTTGCATCACTGACATTGTTTTTCAGAAATAGTTTGGTGGTTAGTTGAAGAAATTAGCAGAGAGACCAGACAAATGTTCTGGCTTCTATACCAAGACACTAATATTGAAAATGTTCAGCATCTCTGCCAGAAACAATTAAGTTAGTCTTCATATATTTCCATTCAAATGCCTGAAAATCTTTGGTTTAGAAAAGAAATGCAAAGTTTATATCTGAAAGCAGTAGTCAAAAAAAAAAAAAAAAAAAAAAAGAAGCAATAACCATGTCAAGTAGACAAAGCAAGGACCAAAAATAAGTGCAAACTTATAGTTGTTCTTGCCAATAAATAAGATAGGCCACATTATGCAACTTAAGGCTAAACCAAATGAACAGGAACATCTGTCAGCAAACGTCATTCTCAATGTAATACAGGTAAGAAACCATGTGAATGGGTCAGGTACATGGGTCCAATAAAAAACTGACCTAAGGGAGGCATCAAATTCATGTACATTGAAAGTCCATCAAAAATCAAGATAAAACACATACATTTCAAGCCCTAAAATATATAAAAAATCATGACACAATGTCAGACTAAAATTGCATGGCCAAGATAGTTGATATAAAATGGACAAACATACATCATCAAGGCATCTAGTCATGTTGAATAGCTAGAAAGAATCTAATCACAAGTTTTTGGACAAACTCTGTCCAACAATGCTAGATGCCAGTTTGTCAAGGTAAAGTAAATGGTCTATGTAACCTAGAAAGGTACTAAACCTTTTTCTTTTCTTCAATTAACATATAGTATATGAGTTTTGATTGATTTGGAGGCAAAAGTATTTTGAAACACTATTTCTGAATTTGCTACCAATTGGATCTGCACAGGCATGCAGATATATTCTTCTTTTTCCAAGAGGTTTTTTGCTGGTTTTAATTTGTATTATGAGAGAATAAGTCATGCCCATGCATTCAAGTGAGGCCAAGAACCACATAATGCTATGTATTGTCCTTTAATAATCTGAAAGAAATCTGACAAAATCACTAAGCAGAGTCTGACTGGAAAGGTCTCTACAGACATGGCCCCTTCAAACTCCAAAGTCAACATGGAAATCAAAGAACCAATAAGTACTTAATTTCTGCCTGTTCATCTAATTTTTCTTAATTAAGTGGAGAGGATTTCAAAGGCCTCTGGATGACTGAATATAACCATCAGCAAAAGGAGATTATCCAAACTGCCGTCTAGCCGCAGGGATATTCAGAATAACAAGAGATAAACAGCTCAGTATTTTCAAATTCTACCATTTGTCTATATCAAACATATATACACACACAATAGTAGAATAACTTGTTAAAGTTTTCTCTTTTTCTCTTTTGACACAGAATCTGATCCTCGAATAAATTTATTTGTATCTGACGATTCTGACCAACACATGCCAATGACTTAATGCATTAGTGACATTATTATGGTAGTCTTAATTAAATCCAGAAATAGTCAAACAGGTCTTTTTGAGAGAAAACTCCATTATCAGCTTAAGAATTAACAATCATAGACCTTGCAAAAGTTCATTTATGATCACATCATGAGGGTTCTGTATATTTAGGAACAATGGTAGTCATACGCGTGGTGTAGTTGCTTCTGTGACTACATGGCCAAACAAAAATATTGACTGTAATATGGTAAACATTAAGCAGTCAAAAGTGTCAATCAAAAAGGGGAAAAAAAAAGAAAGAAGGGAAATAGATGCAGCCATAAAAGAAGCGGTCTGCAAGCATTATGAAAGAGGTAAAAGGGTGCATAGTTCCTTATGAGAGTAAGACTTACATTTCACGCAACTTTTGATTATCTCCAAGTGATGAGGGGATCTCTCCACTAAGTTTATTATCTTCCAAATGCCTTTCAAGAGAAAGTAGCATCACATTAGGGAAGGCAAGCTAAACTCCACATGACAGTTTACTAGAAGTACTACAGTTTCCAGTGAACTCAAAAAGACAAATAACACAAGGCAAAAGTAATATATTAACGACCCGCCAATCCCTACATGTATCCAGTCACAGTAAAGAATGTGAAAATCAGGTTTCATAACAATCTGTTAGAATGTTATATAAGGAGGCTTATATTCCAAAATTTCTAGGCAGTTAAATAGTTTCAAAAAACTAGTAAGATACAAGGGAACCCTAAAACTCATTCTACAACTTACAATATCTCCAACATCTTTAATGAACTGAGATCTGGTATTTTTCCTGATAATCTGTTGTTTCCCAGCCAACTGTTGAAAGAATGAGAAACCCAATCAGAAACTTGTCTCTGAATTTCATTAAGCTATGAACTTTAATTGTACTTACATTCCAGTTAATGCAGTTAAGTTCCCAATTTTCGGGGATACTGATCCTAAAAGACCCAGGCCAGTCAGGTTCCTGAAAGTAAAGGAAAAATTAAGAACAGATACCAAAAACATAAAAATAAAAAATAAAAATTCGGAAGCCATAGAAATTTATGTCAAACAGCAAAGAACTCCATCATAACTAGTTGAACTTACAACGTAGTGACACGGATGCGGGTGCCCTCAGAGCATGTAACTCCAGTCCATCTGTACTGACGGGGCAAGCAAGGATCACCATTCCAATCAAGGGGAGGGTTTTGCAAACTCTTTTTGATTTCTTCTAAAGCTATTACTGCAACAAATAACAAAAAACCAATTTATGCAAATTCTGGATTGGTTACAGATTCAATTTACAGGTAAGCTTAACTATGCCTTAAACTAAGGGCTTGAATCATAGATAGAACTTTACACAATATATCCAACTTTATTTTTCAGTTCATGTTTCAAACTAAATCACCGAGTATGCCAACTCAACTAGCAATAGAAAACCCTAAAATATACTCAAGAGTTTTAAATGGAAACCAAATTCAATGCAGTTGTATCGACAAGGAATAGCATTCAGTACTAATCATACCATCCTTGGTTAGAGTTCTTCCTCCAAGTTCCAGAACCTGAAAAATCTCCCCTGCATTGATCAGAGGACTAATCTCTGAATTGGAAGTAGGTCTCAAAATTATCTTTGTATTACCAATAAGAGGCCAACTGGTTGCAAACACAGCAGCTCCTGCAGGTGTCACATTCAAATTGCGGTAGTATGTTACATTATTTATGTTTATGCCAAGCATTGTCGAGGTTGGACGTGATTCAGTATCAGCAAAATATAGAGCAATGTAGTATGAGGCATTTTGTAGGGACACCGGAGGCCATCTCAACTCCAAGGATTGTGGTTGGTCAGTTGAAAGTGCTGCTTCGAACACTTTTGAAGGGGGCCAATTCCAAAAACGAGAAACATTAGGAGGGCTATTGCTTACTATAACATAATTATTTTCTCCATACTGCTCCCAAAACCGATCAAAAGGATCATCAGGGTATCTGGTATTACAAAAGTTCACAATCAGCAAAATCCAACAAGGCAAAGCACATACAATAAATGATAAATAAACTTAAGCTTCAGGTTTTGCCAATGATGGAAAGTGTAATCTTTTTTGCTGGATTACAACTTAGAACCTTAGGACCTAGAATTCTATCATCATTTTTATGCTCAATTCCAAGGTAATTAACATACAATTTGCTTTCTCTTGAAATCATCAATGGCATCCAAATTAAAAAAGAAAAAATGCCAAAGTCTGAAACTTTCCTACAATTCCCAATCAAAATCATATTATTGAAGAGTATATAAAATCAATAACTTTGACTGACCTAATAGTTGGTCCGCTGTATCCAAAACTATGCCTGGCAACCAAACTCAAACCATTAACATCAAATTTGGTGGTATTGTACAATGAGTCCCCCAAAATCACGAACTCCAGGGCAGAAATAAATGGATCTGAATCCGTATGCGAATTCACCCCAAGACACACGCTCATGGACTTCCCTTTAGGTTTGAAAACCCCTTCATAGTAAGAAGCGTTGCCTTTCCTATAATCCTCCGTCGTATTCACCACGCCCCACAGCGTTCCGTCCACAATCTGATCAAACACCGGCGGCGAACTCCTGCCGTTGACCCCGCCATAAAAGTAAGTGGTCCTCACCATGTACCTCGCCTGGCGGTAAACCGGCACATCGTAGCAGAACTTTCGCCCGACGTTATTCCGAAAAGGGAAAGTTCGGACGGTGGACAGAGTACGTACCAAGACGGGAATCGTTAAGTTCTTCCCAACTCCAGCGGAGACATAATCACCATCGGGAAGCCATTCTCGGCCGCCAATCACAGAACCAACAGTCGCACCGCAATCAATCAAAACACCTAACAAATTCAGGAAAAAAAGAGAAAAACAAAAATGGGTCAGCGAGAAATTCGAAAAGGAAACAGAAACGAACTGAAATAAAAATAAAAATTACCCTTGGGAGGTTGAGAGGAGGAAACGGGGAGAAAGAAGGGGAGGAGGAGGAGGAAGGAAAGGGAAAGGAGGGAAAGCGGAGACATGGTGAGGAGAGTGGCATGAGAGAGGGGGGTAGGGGGGAGGGAGGGGGTTAGGAAGGATAAGGGGGTTTGAATCGGTCTATGTTGAGTCATGCAAGCAAGGAATAGGGGGGGAAGTGGTGGAGTTGGAGAAGAGGAAAAGTATTTTTAGTTGGAGTGACGCGGGAAATAACAGAGCGGGGTGGGTGGAAAGGCCAGGTCAGAGTGGGCGGCGGTTCCCAACAAAACGCAGCGGATGTTGCTGGCTGGTTCTTGGTTTTGACCTGGTTTGATGACTAGGTAGGCAGCAACATTGATAATTGCGCGTTTTGGCTCAGTCTTTGGGACGAGTATTTTTTTTTTTTTTTTTGTAAGGGCAAGAATATTAATGAACAATAGTTTCATTTTAGAGTCACGATTAATGTTACATGATACATAAATAATCTATTTTCATTATAAATAAAAAAAATTATGAGTTTAAATTGTATGATATATGAATAAACTGAAATAAAAAAAATAATTATTTCTCATTATATAATTAAAATAAAACAAAAAAAGAAACATAAATTTGTTACCATTCATTTCAAGATTTCAACTGTAAGGCACCTGGGCTTCATTTATTTGCCTTTTGGTAAAGTGCATCTATTAGTGTTGGGGTTTTGAATTCCTCTTCCTTAAATTGTAACTCGTTCAAAAATAAGGAAGATTTCAATTGCAACATATAAATTTTTTCTTTTTATAAAATAAGTCAATTAATTGAAACTTTTATTTAAAAAATAAGTAAGAAGAGAGAATGAGGATTTGAACCCTGATTTTATGAGTGATGAAGTACTTTTGTAAAATAATCCCTTAAATTTTCCAAAGAAAAAATATTGTATAATCTGGTATAGTCCAAATTATATAATATTAGTTATTAGATAAATATATTAAGGCCCTGTTTGGTATAGTGGTTTTGAGGTAGCGGTTAGCGGTTTTACCTAAACCGTTAAATATAGGTGTTTGGTAAATTTATATATTTCGAAACCGTTACAATTAAAGTGTTTGATAAAATTTTTATTTAGCAGTTTGAGACTAACGGATAGCGGTTAGGGTCTAAATCGCTAGCAAATTGAAAAAGTTAGTTTATGTAGCTTTTTGTACCAAACTACTAATGAATCAAAATTTTTTAATTTTATTGATAAGTTTATCCATTTTAATTTTTTAGTTTGTGGTCACATTTTTAATTAATAATTATCTAATAAATTTCTATTTTGTTTTTTTACCTTTAATAATATTAAATGATTATAATATTTTTTTTGTACATTAATTTATAATTAAAAAATATATTATCTTAAAAATTTTTAATTTTATTTACAGATTTATCCATTTTAA